GCGTGGATGCGCACTGCTGAGGAGTCCCACACCAGGACGAAACGGCCGTCCAGTGCTTGCAGGTTTCTAATGCTGGTCTAACATTGATCGATTCATGGTTTCAAAAATTGTATAACTTAACAATCTTCACAACCCCGCAATGCAAATTTAATTAGGTATCAAATCCCGGACCGTTAGATCGCTCAGAGAGCTTTTCACTGTCAAATAAATCAACTGACATCCAGTAGTCTGCATTTTGTGTGTCAGTAAATTCACAGTATTTCAATGTTACTGTTCATTGTCATTTGTTGTTCTTCGTTTACGTTTCAAGATGATCAAACTTCACGGGTCATATTTCTGAAGTAGATTTGCAAAGAAAGCCTCTCAAAGTTAGTCACTAATTCAAACGGAAGTGAATATTTCTGATCGATAACATCACCGATAAAACTAAGTCATTTTTACTTGCTTTAATAATTTGAAATATAATTTAATACGATGTATGAACAATATATTCTATATTTAGTTAGTGGTTACAAAATGTTTCGAGTATTATTATTATTATTATTACTACTACTACTGTGGTGCGAGCTACTTATAAGTAGTATATAACGTGAGTGTCAACGTAATGTCTGGCAGCAGAAGATAGGGGAAGATCAAGAAAGGAAGAGTTAGAAAACAATGGAATTTGTATGAAACGCATCATGAATAGTGACAATGGATTGATGTTTCGCAACAGGAACAGTCCAGTTCGATATGATGGATTGATATTTTGCAAATTAACGATTTACGATATGGTTTTCCGATTTTACTGAGTACCTCTGTAATTTTCGTTAAATACGATTCGGTTTCCCCACCTGTGTTCTCCTTCACTACACTGCTACTACTACTACTACCATTTCTTATGCTCCTAGTAATTCTACCACTAATTATAGCAATATTTATATATAACATTGATTATAAGTTCCTTATACTAGTTAAACCAAAGTTCATTTACTTAAATTATCATCTGTTCACCTGTTTAATATCGGAACTAATTTATCGTTAAATCATATGATTTGTTTTTTGTTTTTATTCTTCTAAGAAATATCATTTCAACATTGATCAAATTGGTTACATCAATAGTGAATTCTTTGAAATTTTAACAATAATTGAAAAAGAATTAAAAAGAATGATAATTAATAAATTATTTAATTACTTATTTCTAAACATAATTTTTAATTAGTAAAATATTAAAACTATATTTATATTAATAGTTTTACAAAATGAAGCATTTTGAAAAGATGATTTTTCAATTACAATCATTTAAACAATTTTACTAGTTTAATTAAATCATGCATCGATCGATGATGTTAGACTACCTACCATTAGAAACCTGGGAGAACTGGACGACCGTTTCGTTCTAGGGTGGGATGCATACACCATCCATGAATGTGTGGATGAAACACGACACCTCTGGTCTCGCGCGTGAACTTTTAATCACTTTTAGACTACTGAAATGGTATTCAGATGTAATATTATCTAATTTCGATCAATCCATGGTCTTGCGCGACCTCATCCATTGCCTTCGATTGGCATTGATTTCACACCCAACGTGGTTGATCTTTATTGGTCACAAATATTCACTAAAACTCAAAGAAAACTGCTCACGAAGCTACTCACTAGGGAGCAAACAATAATTTTCATCAGAGGGTTACGGAGATGGTTGAGTTTAAGCGTTCATATGCAGGGCTGAAAGTCCTGGGTTCGATTCCCGCGAGCCAGGTTTGTGGATGTGCAGTGCTGATATTAGGATATTCATCCAATATCCTAAGAGAATTATTGGTAAATTCCTACTGGTTAATTTTATGGTCGTTTTAGATAACTATGTCACGTACTCATATGTTCTTTCCTATTGGTCGTCTTAACTGTCAACGTCATAGACATCGATACTGTTTCCTATTCGACCTAAACGTATAAATACGCAGTATCTGTAATGTTTTGTATTCTGTTCCTTCCTGCCTTCCTCTTTACTGTACTCGACCCACTTCACAACTTCATCTAAATTCGTTGTGTTCTGATATATGGAAGATTTGGGAATAGTAATTGGGTCATATTGGAATATTTGAAGTTGGATGTCGGTAGGACTCAATAGCTACGTAGCAGCATTAAACAGCTGATGAGTTAAACACTAGGACGAAACACTCATCCCGTGCTTCCAGGTTTCTAATGATGATGATGATGATGATGATGATGGTCTGACACTGATCGATTCACGATTTTAAAGAAACGAATTAGTCTCCATAACTCTGTCATAAAAACTTTATAAGTATCAATTTTTCGTATTTCACATAAATTTAAAGTAAAAATAAACGAACTGAGATTTTAAAAAAAATATGAAAACAGAGTAAAAATTGTTAGACAAAACAACAGAATAACGAATCGATTGAATGTTACAATTACTAGAAATACAGCCACTCCAATCGAATGAGAATTTCAGGCATAAAGTATCATTTTATTGAATCAAAGAAAAAATAGCTTTGTTTAAGATATATATTAATATTAAAGGTCATTTATATTTGAGTTATGACCTTGATTTTAATTAGTTTTTGAAGGTTTTTGTTTTGTTAGAGGAGATGATGTATAAGTCATCATTTTGTCCTGAATCTAGAACAATCAATATTGATCATTTACAATGTAGAAAGAGCAAAAACAAAAAAAAAATAATAGTACTAAGCATGACATCATGAAAGTAGACTGCCATTAGTTTTTTTTTTGATAAAAAAAATATGTACCGGAAATTTAATCTTTTTTCCTTTTCAATTTATTAGTGAATTAATTACACATGTATGCGTATATTATGATTCTTTGTTTTTATCGTAAACAATTTATTTCAATATTCAGCTTTATCTGATAAAGTTATTATCAAATCAAATCAAATCAAATCAAATCATTATCATCGTGTATAAAGTACTGATATAAATGAATGTTACAAAAACTAAAGAGATGAATAGTTTATTTATTGTTTTAATGATGAGTTCAGATAACGAACAATGTCGGTGTGATCATGTTTTGCTTTTTTTTCGCTTAAAGCAATCAGTACGTCAGTCAGTCAGTCAGTCAGTCAGTGAGATGCAACGTAGAACTTCGTACGTAAGTACATCAGTTTAGGTTGCCATACCACATCAGCACAGAGATATAGTTGTCAAGTCAAATCCAATAGTAGTAAAGGTATTAGAAGTAGTCAGAGAGGTTAGGATTAGAAGATATTATCCAAGAAGTATGATTCAATGAGATAAGTTTAGAGAGTCGAAACTAGAGTTGTTGAAGAATCCAGAAGATTAGGATTTGAGAGAACACAAAGAATAAATGCACCGGCGCCATTGCAAACGATTTTGAGCCATGTCATTCAAGGTCTCTAACCATCGATTATTATCATCTCGCGGACCCCAACTAGGTAGTCGACAACTACCGACATGGCTAAGTCCACTAGTCAATGACTTTATGGATTTGTGCCATGTTTTTGTTTGGCCGCCCCTAACTTTCTTCCAACCTTTTCCTATACTACAAAACAAAGCTCGTCGAGGCAGTCGGTGTTTAGGCATACGTAAAACATGTCCCAACCACTTCAACTGATGAAGTTTCATTACTTCATCTATTGATCTGCCATCCTTACCTAGCACCCGTTTCCCAATAACAGCGTTGCACTCAATACGTAGTTTTAGGTCGATAGGATTGAGCATAAAGACCTTAGTCGTTTTCATGCTAACCAATAAGGTGTATATATTCATCCCAGGCTAACTGGTAGTTTATTGAAGATTGTAAATCTGTGTCACCCAGTGTTTACATGAAGAGACTTTACTGTTTCGTTACTTGTAATGTGACGATTTTTATAAAAAACGCTATGCCTTCATTTTTACTAGATTATTTACTTACTTAGGCTTATTGCTCCATAGGAAGAATAGGCTGTTGATCAACATTCTTCAACCAACACTATCCTTTGATCTTCTTTCTAATTCTACTCGATTGCTGTTAATTTTTTTCATGTCTGCTTCCAGTTGTTGTATCAATGTATTTCTTGGTCTACCTCATTTTCTTTGGCTTTGAGCGTCCCGACTGAGGGCTTGTCTCTTGATGCAGTTGGATGATTTCCGCAATATCTGTCCTATCAATATCCAACGCTTTTTCTTAAGTCATTTTTTTTAGCTTGAATCTACTTTTTTCTCTCTCACAGTAGTTTGTTTGTGATAGTAATAAACACTTGTATCTTCTGGATGATGACTTTCGTGGTTCTCTAAGTTTCCTCATCATACAGTGCAATTGTTTTGATGTTTGTATTGAAAACTGTGTCTTTGTTGTTAGTTGACAGTTGTTTTGAGTTCCAAATGTTCTTCGGTTGTAGGGATGCTTCCCTTGCTTTTCCGATCCGCTCCTTCACATCTTCATCAGATCCGCCTCGCTAACATGTAGAGATTGCCACATCTTGCGGAATTTCTCCATCAATTATGATTCGGTTGATGCTTGTAGTGTTGTATCGGAGGATGTTATATTTCCATAGTGTATGTTGATACCTACTGTTATAGAAGCTGCTGAGATAACTCTTAGTTAACATAACATTTGACAAAAACCATCATTATTGAAATGGACATGCTGAGTTTAAATCATATCTTAGCTCATCAATACGTATCATGATTGAACTGTAGTATTAACATTATTTGCAAACCAGTTAGACATTAACACCGTTAGATACCGGATCAGTGGTCCGATGGTTAGGTGTTCGCCTACAATACCGAAGGTCCTGGGTTCGAATCCTGCGGGGTGCAGGAGTCGTGGATGCGCACTGCTGGGGAGTCCCATAACAGGACGGAACGGCTGCACTTTCAGTGCTTCCAGGTTTCTAATGGTGGTCTAACATTGATGGATTCATGGTTTCAAAAATGTGAAACCAGTTATATATTAATTCATGTTTTTTTTTGTTCAATCCTATTCTAACTAATTTAAGTACAGTCATAATTATCTCATAGTTATCTCATTCTATAAGCTAAATGTTTCTGGCGGTCAATGAAACACCACCATCATCATCATCATCATCATCATCATCATCATCATCATCATCATCATCATCATCATCATCATCATCATCATCATCATCATCATCATCATCATCATCATCATCATCATCATCATCATCATCATCATCATCATCATCATCATCATCATCATCATCATCATCATCATCATCATCATCATCATCATCATCATCATCATCATCATCATCATCATCATCATCATCATCATCATCATCATCATCATCATCATCATCATCATCATCATCATCATCATCATCATCATCATCATCATCATCATCATCATCATCATCATCATCATCATCATCATCATCATCATCATCATCATCATCATCATCATCATCATCATCATCATCATCATCATCATCATCATCATCATCATCATCATCATCATCATCATCATCATCATCATCATCATCATCATCATCATCATCATCATCATCATCATCATCATCATCATCATCATCATCATCATCATCATCATCATCATCATCATCATCATCATCATCATCATCATCATCATCATCATCATCATCATCATCATCATCATCATCATCATCATCATCATCATCATCATCATCATCATCATCATCATCATCATCATCATCATCATCATCATCATCATCATCATCATCATCATCATCATCATCATCATCATCATCATCATCATCATCATCATCATCATCATCATCATCATCATCATCATCATCATCATCATCATCATCATCATCATAATCACCACCTGAGCTACAAATTTCCGCCAACATTTCACAGTCCATAATCTTTTGACTTTAGTTAGTTTAAAAATTTATCTATTCATAAATATTGTTTAAATTGCTTGAAATTTATGTATACTTACATAAATTATTATTATTATTATTATTATTATTATTATTAGTGTATGACTGAATGTTCAGTATCTCTCTCCTACCCTCTCCTCCGTCTATGAAGTTTTCTATGCCTTAGTAAGTATAATTACTCCTTCTTCCTAAATATTACTTTTCTTGTCTGTAGAAAAAACAACATTTCCCCTAAACTAAATGAACATTTCTGTTCAAATGTAAATTATTTCTAAGCATAGATTTTGTTTGAGTTTATTTCAGCTCAGCTCAACTCAACTCAATTTATTTGTTGCTATTTTTCTCTCCAAAAAAAATTAAATAAACTTTCAATCTCTTCAGTAATTTTTCTGCAAAATTATTCAAATTGCCTAAGGATAGTTTAATTTTCTTTTAAAAATCATTCAAATTCTGGTAAATTAACATTAGTCTGTTTGTTTTACTTTATTCAACTGCCTCTTTCTTCATTTGTCTTTAGCTTACTGTTTTGTCCCGTTCAGTTTTCTTCATACGCTTCTCACTTACTAACTAGTATATGCAGTTTTATTCAGCGATGTGATTTTGTAAAGATGACAATAATGACTGCCTCTCATCCTCTCTCACCCTCTCGCTCCCTCGCTCTCTTCTTCAATAAATTATTTCGGATAATTTTCTCCTGGATCTACTATTTTTTTTTTAAGCCTTCCTTTTTTTATTCCATAATTTGTCTCTTTTTTTTTCATTCTGCTGTATTACAAAAAATTCAATATGATATAAGTTCAAAATTTTTGTAAATCATAAAGACATTGAACATTGAACGAAATGAAATGAAACGAAACAGAACAAACAAACATACAAACAAACACGTATACATTTTGGAAACATTCAATATGTGTGTATGATGATCAACAGTTTGTGTCAGAATGATCATGAAAAAGAATGTAAGTAGTATTATTTATACATCATAATGTGTAGTTTTGTTTCATTTTTAAATGATACATGAGTGAAACTTTATAAGTGCTATGAGAAAGTAGTAATGTAGGGAAAAGTAATTACATTTTCATGATTGTGAATATATATGTATGAAAACATATGAATGTGTTTTTTAGATTATGTAAGTAAAATTACTTTGGATTCGTTGGCCAGACATCATCAGCAACAACTTACTGTTGGGAGAGAACAAACCAGATTCCAATGGAGGAGGAAATCAGGAAGAAGTGGTGGAAGTGGATAGGACATACATTGCGGAAAGCACCTAACTGCGTCACAAGACAAGCCCTCACATGGAACCCTCAATGTCAAAGGAAAAGAGGAAGGTCAAAGAACACATTACGTCGAGAAATAGAGATATACATGAGAAGAATGAACAAAAACTTGAAAGAAGTAGAAAGGGAAGCCTAGGACAGAGTTGGTTGGAGTAAACTGGTGAGCGGCCTATGCTCCATTGGGGGTAACAGGCGTAAGTAAGTAAGTAAGTAAGTAAGTAAGTACATAAGTAAGTAAGTAAGTAAGTAAGTGCATAAGTAAGTAAGTAAGTAAGTGCATAAGTAAGTAAGTAAGTAAGTAAGTAAGTAAGTAAGTAAGTAAGTAAGTAAGTAAGTGCATAAGTAAGTAAGTAAGTAAGTAAGTGCATAAGTAAGTAAGTAAGTAAGTAAATGGTAAAAATGTTTGTGACATCACTGTTAGCAAAGTAGTTGTTCTGAATCCTTATTTTATTCAAATGCATATCATATCGATTGATGACTAGATAGTAATCGATGTCAAATCTTTTTTATTCGACGATAGAGTTGTGGAGAATGTTGACTTGCTGTATTGAACTGATGAATCAATCGTTGTTAGATAATCATTAGAACCCTGGAATTACTAGACGGCTGTTTCGTCCCGGTACGGGACTCATCAGCAGTGCGCACTCACGAATCCTGCAACTAGCAGGATTCGAACCCAAGACTTTCGGTCTTAAACCACTGAGCAAGTATCTAATGGTGATAATATCTTACTTCGATCAACCCACGGTCATGTGCAACCTCATTCACTGTCTTCAGTGAGCATTGTTTCACACTAGAACAAGGTTGGACTCCACTGGTCACGACTTCTCACTAGAACTCGGAGAAACTTTATCTATAGAACTAGTCATCAGTCAGTACATGATAATTTACATGAGTTTAGGCGTTTGCCAGCAAGACTGAAAGTCTTGGGTACGGGTCCTGTGAGTTGCAGGAGTCGTGCACGCACATACCGAGGCGGAACGGCTGTCCAATGCTTCTAGGTTTCTAATGGTGGTCTAACGGTGAAAAATTTATGATTTGAAGAAGGAATTTTTACTGATCAAGTGATAATCTATTAGGTTATGAACGGAAATTGAATGTGAACAATATGTTTGATAGATATTTATACATTTGTTCAGTTTACGCATTGGAATTTGCCTTTGTGGTTAAATGACATTTCTCAATTATAACTGTCATCACCTTAGTTAATATTAGTTGAGGAGCAGTTAGATAAACAGTATAATAAGCATATAATTATTGCAAAGATTTTATGGGCGGAGATATCCATGAATTCCACTGCTAACTACCATTTATCTCTGCTGAAAGTACATATGACTTCATGAGAATGAATATCTAGGCAATCCTCACAGGATGTTCATAAAATGAAACAGTCTGATCGATAGCAGTTCCAAAACATCAATGGGGAAGTTCTTACAACTAATAAAACTGAATTCATGAAGTTGATTTATTCATATCCCTTTAATCTATGTAACAAATATCTATTTCTATTCTAATCCAATATCTTAAAGGAATTTCTGTAAAAAAATTTCAACAGTTCCAATGATTGGAATTAGCATTTTTCTCTGAGGCAGATCTAATTTTCCCTAAAAATCATATTATTTAACAAAAAAACCTTATTACCTGTATTTTTTCAATAAAAGAAGGGCAAATTAATATTTTCATAGTTTTGTGGTGCGCGCTACTTATAAGTAGTATATGATGCGAGTGTAAACGTAATGTCTGGCAGCAGAAGATAGGGGCAGATCAAGAAAGTAAGAAGAGTGGGAACATAATGGAATTTGTATGAAACGCATGAATAGTGAGTGAAATGTCAGACAATGGATTGATGATGGATTGAAGATTTGCAAATTAACCGTTTACGATATGGTTTTCCTATTTTACTGAATAACTCTGTAATTTTCGTTAAATACAATTCGGTTGCCTTCACCTGTGTTCTCCTTCACTACAGTTTAAGTCACGAACTAAGCTTAGTTGAACTATTATTGACATTTCGTAAGTGATGGACGGCCGTTTCGTCTTATAATGGAAACCCATCATCAATACAAATCCACAGTGCGCATCCATATAACCAACCCAAGACTTGTGAACCATCAAGCCGGTATATGACGCTCTCAAAGTCTAACTTCAGTCAACACTGGATATTACTTAACTGGACTCTATTGGTCAAGGGTTCTTACCCTAGAAGTTCAGAACTAGAATCTTGGGCACTTTGTACTGTTTCCATAAATTAGATTTGTTAATTTATGGATATATAATTCCCACTAGATGTAGATTTAGAAAATTCAATTTGTTTAATATATATATATATATATATTTCAATGATAAAATCTATAACATTTACTAAAATTGATCGATGAATGAATAGTAAATGGGTTTAATCTATGTCTAATTCTTAGTGTTGATTAACTTCTGTCAATCAAGTTGTAGTGTAGTCACTAGTTTAATTGACTCACTATTGTACAGTCTACATTTTAATGTCAATTAATTGGAATAGTAAGTCAACGAATCAGATTAGCTAGAGATCTTTTTTCGATAAGAAACCATGCATAAATTATTCATTTTTAAAATGATATCATTCTGTAATTAATTCATGATACAATTTTCTAAAGGTAAATAAATAAATTGTTAGATAATGAATTGATGAGTCTCATACTGGGACGAAACATCCCACGACTACTTCCAGGTTTCTATTGGTGGTCTAACAATGACTGATCGATGACTTCAATGGGCAACAAACACTAATCTCCATAACTCAAATCGAAATAAAAACATCGCACAATGTGCTCACTAGTGATTAAGCTTCGCGAGGAAATTCTCAGAGTTCTAGTGAGAAGACGAGACTAATGGAGTTCAACCCTGTCGGGTGTAGGTAGTAACTACCAAAGACAAATGGGGGAGGTTGCGTAATACGTTAGATTGATCAGGGTTAGACATTAATACCTTTGGATTCCGGTTCAATGGTCTAGAGGTTAGGGGTTCGTGCGCAAGACCAAAGATCCTGGGTTCGAATCATGTGAGTAGTAGTGTAAAGAAGGAGAACACAGGTGGGGCAACCGAATTGTATGTAACGAAAATTACAGAGTTACTCAGTAAAATAGGAAAACCATATCGTAAATAGTTCATTTGCAAAATATCAGTTCATCATATCGAAATGGACTGTTCCTGTTGCAAAACATCAATCCATTGTCACTATTCATGCGTTTCATACAAATTCCATTGTGTTCTAACTCTTCCTTTCTTGATCTTCCCCCATCTTCTGCTGCCAGCACTCACGTCATATACTACTTATAAGTAGCTCGCACCACAGTAGGAGTCTTGGATTCACAGTGTCGAATAGTTCCATACCAGGACGAAACGGCAGTGTTTCAGCGCTTCCAGGTTTCTAATGATAGTCTAACAACAATAATTGGTTCATGCTTTCAATAATACAAGTAAAAAAATAACTTATCATCTAATTTCCAAAAAAGGACCAAGCCAGAACACTAATTTGAAACTATTATTGAATTTATTCAACGTATAAATCATAAATATATTTACTACCAAAGAGATGGTGGAGAAAATTTCTAGTTCAGTTAGATAATTTTGGTTGTGTTTCATTCTCTCTGAGCTAGATGTCTCGATTGTGAAGCTT